AGTCTATATCTGATAATGAATTTGAAAATATAGAAAATCAAAAATGTGAAAATCTGTTGTCTAAATCAAGAGACTTCAATGTTAAAATCTTTAAGTCAGATTTAAAACCACTTCCAACTAATCTGAAATATGTTTTTTTAGAAAAAGATGAAATTCATCTTGTGATCATATCATCGAATTTATCTGAAAGTCAAGAAAAAAAATTAACAAAAGTATTAAAAGATCATTAAAGTGTTCTTGGATGGACAATTACAGATATAAAAGGTATAAGTCTACTTCTGTATACTCATTGTATATATTTAGAAGAAAATGTTAAATCATCTCGTCAAATGCAAAGAAGATTAAATTCACATTTGAAAGAGGTAGTCCNATTAACAAAAGTATTGAAAGATCATTAAAGTGTTCTTGGATGGACAATTACAGATATAAAAGGTATAAGTCTGCTTCTGTATACTCATTGTATATATTTAGAAGAAAATGTTAAATCATCTCGTCAAATGCAAAGAAGATTAAATTCACATTTGAAAGAGGTAGTCCGAGCTAAAGTACTTAAACTATTAGATACAAATATTATTTATCCTATATCTGATAGTAAATGGGTTAGTCCTACACAAGTAGTCCCTAAGAAGTCTGGTGATACTGTAATAAAAAATAAAGAAAATGAATTAGTTCTAATGTGTATAGTCACAGGTTGGCGTGTGTGTATTGACTATCGAAAGCTAAATTTCCTCACTAGAAAGGATCACTTTTCGTTGCCTTTTCTAGATCAAGTATTGGAAAGAATAGCTGATCATGCATTTTATTATTTTTTAAATGGATACTCTGGTTATGATCAGATTGAAATTGTAATAGATGATCAAGAAAAAACTACATTTATATGTCCGTTTGGTACTTCTGCATATCAAAGGATGCCTTTGGGATTATGTAACACTCCAACTACATTTTAACGTTGTATGCTAAGCATATTCAGTGATATGATAAAACGACATCTAGAAGGTTTTTATGGATGATTTTTCAGTGTATGGTGATTCATTTCATTTATGTTTAGAAAATCTTGAAAAAGTACATATTCGATATGAAGAAACAAACCTTGTATTAAATTGAAAAAAATGTCATTTTATAGTTACACAATGTATTGTTTTAGGTCATGTAGTGTCTAAACAAGGTATCGAAGTTGATAAATCTAAAATTGATTTAATAGCTAATCTTCCATCACTGAAAACTGTAAAAAATGTTTGCTCTTTTCTTGGTCATGCAGGATTTTATAGAAAGTTTATAAAAACTTTTAGTTCAATAGCTAGACCTATATGTAATCTTTTATGTCAGGATACATTATTTGAATAGAATGATGCATGTCAATTTGCGTTTGATAAATTAAAAAATATGTTGATTTCTGCACTTATTATGTAACCTCCTGACTGGTCTCTGCCTTTTGAATTAATGTGTGATGCAAGTGATTATGCAGTAGGAGTTGTATTAGTCAAAGGAAAGATAAAAAAATCTTATGTTATTTACTATGCAAGCAAAACTCTAAATGATGCGCAAATGAACTGTTCAACTATAGAAAAAGAACTACTTGCTGTTGTATTTGTATTAGATAAATTCCGTTCATATCTGGTTGGATCATCAATTGTTATATTTACAGATCATGCAGCTTTAAAATATTTACTTACTAAGAAAGATGCTAAGTCATGTCTCCTACGATGGATATTATTACTTCAAGAATTTGATCTTATCATTAAGGATAAGAAAGGAGTTAAAAATATGGTAGCTGATCACTTGTCAAAGCTAAATTATGATATAAAGGAAGAACTAACTCCAATTAGAGAAATTTTTTCAGATGAACAACTGTTTGCAATAGTAGAAGTACCATGGTATGCAGATATAGCCAATTATTTAGTCACTGATACTATTCCTTCTCATTATACCTAGTTTGATAGAAATAAGTTTTTAAGTGAGGTACATAACTTTTTCTGGGAAGATCCTTATTTGTTTAAATATTGTAAAGATCAAATAATAAGGCGTTGTGTATCTAATCATGAAATAAGTCAGGTAATTCAATTTTGTCACTCTGAAGCTTGTGGAAGTCATTTTGCAGTGTAGATTTTATTGGCCAACTCTTTTTAAAGATGTTTATATNTCTAATCATGAAATAAGTCAGGTAATTCAGTTTTGTCACTCTGAAGCTTGCGGAAGTCATTTTGCAGTGTAGATTTTATTGGCCAACTCTTTTTAAAGATGTTTATATCTTTTGTTTAAATTGTGACAGATGTCAAAGATTGGGAGATATTTAAAAAAAAATGATGCATTTAAACCTCTATTTTAATCATTGAAAATTTTGATTGTTGGGGCATCGATTTTATGGGTTAAATAAGTACTTTTGTAAGATAAATCAGTCAAAAAACTATAAATTAGGGTTTGTGCGTAAATTAGGATTTTACATGTGTTATGTCTGAAATTTCAGGGTTTGATGCGGAATTACCAAAAAATACAAGGAACAATGCGTCAAAGCTTAAAAGAGCAAAGGACCAAAGTGTAAATCAATCAAGAGAAGCTAGCTCAACATGATGATCAGCATGCGAAAATCCAGCAAGGCACCACCGTCCAGACGGTGGGAGGGGCCGTCCGAACGGTGGCTTAAGGGGGCTCATGATGATCCATCCACCTCCTGCTTCTTTTCTTCTATAAATAGGAGTGCCTTCTTCATTTCAACTTGGTCGGGTGGAGCGAAGCTCCAGAATGAAATCCAAAAGAGAGAAAAGAAAGAGAAAAAAAGAAAGTCGTATACAATTTGGTCTGTCCTACTTACAAGCCAAAACTCTGTATTTCTATATTTCTGTGTTATCTTTCTATTCGGATAGTTGAACTGCAGCCATTTTTTTGTCGTAACTGATAAGAAAAGTGGTTGTAATCCAGTTGTTCCTTGTGAAAGAAGTATCCAAGTTTATATTTTAATTACTGTTATAATAAAAACTACCCGCACTTCTTGTTTGTATGTAGTAATGGAGTGTGAGTAGTTATTTATATCCTTCAGTGAGCGGTAAACATATGTATAATATTGGTTAACTTCTGAAAATGTTGATGTTTTATTAAGCTTTATATATATATATATATATATATATTATAAACTTTCATGCCTGATACATTGATATACGTAATTGGGAGTGACAGCCCGAAAATATGATATCAATGAATCATCAACCTGCCAGTTAAATATCTTCGGTGTTCCATCAGTATGGCTTGACCTCCAAAGGAGCACTGAGGATGTTCTACTGTAGCATAGTATAATCATCAGACTAATGATCTAAGTGCTCCTCACGAATGACTTGTCCTTCTGGATTACTAGGATTGTTTAACTGGTACATATATAACCAGCTAACCTAAGAAGTTGCTGTATTATGATCTATTAATACCACTAGCTAACCTAAGAAGTTGATATGTTATGGTTTATTATGTACGTATATATTATAATATTGTCAATTGAGTAATTCAAATGATCATCATGAATGTCTTGTCCTTCTGGATTATTAGGGTTAGTCAATTGACACACATATATAACCAGCTAACCTAAGAAGTTGTTGTGTTATGATTTATTAATACAACCAGCTAACCTAAGAAGTTATTGTATTATGATTTATTATGTACACACTTACTATCATAGGGTCAATTGAGTAATTCNTAATTGACACACATATATAACCAGCTAACTTAAGAAGTTGTTGTGTTATGATTTATTAATACAACCAGCTAACCTAAGAAGTTATTGTATTATGATTTATTATGTACACACTTACTATCATAGGGTCAATTGAGTAATTCAATTATTCCTCATAAATGTCTTGTCCTTCTGGTTTACTTGAATTAGTCAATTGTCACGCATACCACCAGCTAACCTAAGAAATTGTTGTGTGATGGTTTATATACATCAGACCTACCGGTTGACTTTCTAGTGACATGAAAGTTAATTTTTGTAAGGTAGTATTTCCAGTATTTAATNTAATGTCTTGTCCTTCTGGTTTACTTGAATTAGTCAATTGTCACGCATACCACCAGCTAACCTAAGAAATTGTAGTGTGATGGTTTATATACATCAGACCTACCGGTTGACTTTCTAGTGACATGAAAGTTAATTTTTGTAAGGTAATATTTCCAGTATTTAATCAATATAAAGCATATGGAATCCTTAAACTGAAGGTTAGTTTTTATATTATTGTCCACTCACAATTTATCTGCAAACAACCGTTTACTTAGACTAGTTATCAATCTAAGCTCACATTACAAGCTATCTCAAGCTCTCCTATTTTAANATATTTCCAGTATTTAATCAATATAAAGCATATGGAATCCTTAAACTGAAGGTTAGTTTTTATATTATTATCCACTCACAATTTATCTGCAAACAACCGTTTACTTAGACTAGTTATCAATCTAAGCTCACATCACAAGCTATCTCAAGCTCTCCTATTTTAAACAACAACTGTACCATTTTTATTTTATTTCCTAATTATTAAAACTCTTTGTGGGATCAATCTTGGACTTAAACCGAGAAAACTACAATTCGACTACTTATACTTGGGTGTATAATATAAATCCGATTACACAAAAAGTCGAATCAAGACTCTGCCCGAATTTTGTTAAATTATAGATCCCAGTAAATGGGGCATAATGACTTGATGTCGAGTTACACAGTATCCACGGGTATTTCGCGGGTTGATAGGTGATCAACGGGTTGACAAAGGACCCCTAATTTTTGGGGCGTCACAAAGACTGACCATGTTCATGAACAACATCCAGAATCAAGTGGTGATGGGAATATGAATGATAGTGACTGACTCATACTTAGAAGGGTNACTTGATATCGAGTTATACAGTATCCACGGGTATTTCGCGGGTTGATGGGTGATCAACGGGTTGACAAAGGACCCCTAATTTTTGGGGCGTCACAAAGACTGACCATGTTCATGAACAACATCCAGAATCAAGTGGTGATGGGAATATGAATGATAGTGACTGACTCATACTTAGAAGGGTTGTCATCAGACTATGAATATTTTTATGATAGTGAGTATGACATCATTGATGATCAATTATATGAGCCATTTGTTGATAAGGATGTTGAATTTGTCGGTGTTAACAAGGGGAAAAGGGTTGACAAAGGGAAAGGTGTTGATAGTGAAAGAGGCACAACAAAGGATGTTGATAATGATTTTTATGCCGAAGACTATGAGAGTGAAGAGTTATTAAGTCTTGGTGGTTCATCATCGGATGACGAGGAAGGAGGACATTGTAAGAGAAAGAGGGTGAAGTATCCATAGTTTAATTCAAAGTCTGATATGTTTGACCCATAGTTTAAGTAGGTATGTTGTTCAAAACAACTGCTGAATTTAGAGCTGTAGTTAGGCAACATGCAATAAAATGGGGAAAAGAAATATCATTCACTAAAAATGAGAAGTCTAAAGTAAGGGCAGTTTGTAGGGAAGGGTGTGATTGGTTGATTTATGCTTCTAGAGTGGCATGAGAGAAGACAATACAGGTTAAAACTTTTGATGGTGAACACAGTTGCAATAGAACTTTCAAAGTGAAGCATGCCAATGCAAAGTGGCTTGTAGATACGTATGCTGAAAGGTTAAGATCCAAGCCTACATGGTCAATAAAATCACTTAAGCAAACTGTGTTCAAAGAACATGTTGTGACCTCAAGTAAAATCCAAGTTTATAGGGGCAAAGCTGCAGCAAGGACAATGATTAGTGGCAAAGACAAAGACCAGTTCATGTTGTTATGGGATTACTGTGAAGAGTTGAGGAGAACCAATCCAAGTACTACCTATATTATCAAAACCAAAGTAGTAGGAGGTGATCAGGTAAGGTTCAAGAGGATACACATATGTTTTGGGGCACTAAAAAGTGGGTTACAACTGGGCTGCAGACCATTGATTGGTTTAGATGGCTGTCATTTGAAGTTCCATCAATATGGCATTTTACTATCAGCTATTGGAATTGACCATAACAATCAGATGTATCCAATTGCTTATGTAGTAGTAGAGAAGGAAAAAAAGAAGTCTTGGGCATGGTTCCTCCAATTGTTGAAGCATGATCTATGTATAGATAACAGCCATGCATGGACTTTTATGTCAGATAAGCAAAAGGCAAGTTTTAGCTATTGTTTTTTGTTACTTATTTTATTTTATACTTGATGTTTACACTTACTAATTGACTCATTTACTCCTCCAGTTGTTTATGTAGGGAATACTTGATGAAGTTGAGACTCTTTTTCCAAATCATAACATAGGTTCTCTGTGAGACACTTGTATAACAACTTCAAAGTTGAGCATAAGGGCTTAGCTTTGAAGGACTTATTGTGGAGGGCTGCTAAGTCCTNATTTACTCCTCCAATTGTTTATGTAGGGAATACTTGATGAAGTTGAGACTCTTTTTCCAAATTCATAACATAGGTTCTCTGTGAGACATTTGTATAACAACTTCAAAGTTGAGCATAAGGGCTTAGCTTTGAAGGACTTATTGTGGAGGGCTGCTAAGTCCTTAAGAATTGTTGAATTTCGTAATGTCATGGAGGAGTTACGAAGTGTTGATGAATCTGCCTATCAATGGTTATGTGAAAGGCCACCAACAAATTAGTCTAGGTCCCATTTTAGTACATTGCCCAAATGTGACATGCTACTCAATAATTTGTGTGAGAGCTTCAATTCTTGTATTGTAGAGGCTAGGGACAAACCTATCTTAACAATGCTAGAAAATATAAGAGTTTGGCTTATGGAAAGAATACATAGACAGAGGGATTCAATTAAGAAGTATAAAGGATCCATTTGTCCTAGGATTCAAAAGAGATTAGTAGCCATTAAAATTGAGTCAGTTGCTTTCATTCCTACATGGAATGGGGATGGAAAGTTTAAAGTTGTTGGGATGAGTGGAGACCAAGCAACAGTCAACATAAAAGATAAGACTTGTAGTTGTAGGAAGTGGGACTTAACAAGAATCTCCTATAAATATGGTGTGCCTGTCCTCAACTTTTTAGGTTTGTCAGCAGAGGATCATGTAGCTGATTGGTATAAGGTTGAAACATTCCTCAAATGTTATAGTCAATTGATGAGTCCTATTAATGGGAAAGAATTGTGGCCCAAAACAAGTTATGCCACTTTCTTTCCCCCTAATCAAACCATAAGGCCTGGTAGGCCCAAGAAGGAAAGAGAGTGATGAGCCTACCAAAGGTGTGAAGTTGAGAAGGAAATACAAAACAATTATATGTGGAACTTGTGGTCAAGCTGGTCACAACAAGAGGAAGTGCAAGGTGGTCACAACATCCAGTGGCGTAGATACATCAAGTTGTGTAGACATAGCCCCTCTAGATCATGCAGATAATTTACCAAAAGTTTTTTATGAAACATAATTTTTATCTACAATTGGTTGATTTTTATTAATATTAACCTCTGTACATTTCATGGTCAGGTGGAAGCTATGGAAAATGCATCACAAAGTGGTTCAAGGTCAAGCCCCAATGCTACTCAATACAAATCTACAGAGGGCAAACAAAAGTAACTTGTAAGACATGAACCACCTTCTTTCAATTAATAGTTACAAAATTTAACTAATAGTTGTTTAGAAGGAAACGAAATACATCATGTCCCTCAACTAGCCAACCCCAAGCTACTCAACCACAGACTGCTTCATCACAACCTACTTGGAGGCCAACAAAAAAAACTTCAACGCCATCTTTATGGATGCCACCCCAATCTGGTGCAACACAACCTATCCTACCCAAGCAAACCAAGTCTGCACCAGCTCCTACACAACTCTCCAACTCTGCACTAGTTCCTACACAACACTCTAAGACCTTTTGTGATTTTTGGGATGTACTGTTAATAAATTTTGGAATTAGTTAATAGGGGTAAAACTCAATAGTCAATTTTTGTATCTCATTATAGCTCTCTTAGTTGATATGTTACAGCTACACAATTAGTTTTTGTTATGGGGGTGTATCTAACTGCAACAATTTTTGCATGAAGTTAATGCAAAATGGATAAATTTTTTTGTCTGAGTGTTATTTGTGCTATTAAGAAAAGGGATGTATTTGAATACAACTGCAACTGCAACTATGTTTGAACCAACCCCATCCAAATACAAAATCCAGTTTTCATTGCATAATACATAATCCACTGGTAGATTTGATACAAAATAACTCCAAATTATGCATTATCCAGCGGTAGATTTGATACAAAATAGCTTCAACTTGATCACATNTAGTTCCTACACAACACTCTAAGACCTTTTGTGATTTTTGGGATGTACTGTTAATAAATTTTGGAATTAGTTAATAGGGGAAAAACTCAGCAGTCACTTTTTGTATCTCATTATAGCTCTCTTAGTTGATATGTTACAGCTACACAATTAGTTTTTGTTATGGGGGTGTATCTAACTGCAACAATTTTTGCATGAAGTTAATGCAAAATGGATAAATTTTTTTGTCTGAGTGTTATTTGTGCTATTAAGAAAAGGGATGTATTTGAATACAACTGCAACTGCAACTATGTTTGAACCAACCCCATCCAAATACAAAATCCAGTTTTCATTGCATAATACATAATCCACTGGTAGATTTGATACAAAATAACTCCAAATTATGCATTATCCAGCGGTAGATTTGATACAAAATAGCTTCAACTTGATCACATTAGCTTCCAAAACAGGTTTGAACCAATAGACATTCACAACAACTTCAACCTTGTTATGTCTCCATTTGAAACCTGTCCATCTAGAGTGTGTTCATAATGACCCATGCAGCAATACGGAACCACCATGACAAACCGGGAACCAACAAGGCAGAACCAAAGCATTGTACCCCTTGTTGTGCTTCTCTCCAACTGTTCTTCTAAACTTGTAACATGATGCAACAAACAGGGTATAATTTGGCATAATCAGTTACACATCGGGGGGTCAATTCATAAAAAGTAACCACATGGACCACCAACCTATGATTTTATAATTGATAAAAAAATTAGAAAATCACTCAATACATAGAGAAATATACTACCATTTTAACTTCAGTTTGTTGTCAAAAAAAAAAATTCTTGTTCAATCTTTAATAGAAAAATAGAAATTTTAAATAAAGAACTTTCATGGGAAACTCATTCAATGAAATACCTCATTTTTTGCGCAATTGATAAACCTTCTTCCAAGGTTTAAATCCATCCAAGAGGTCTTCGTTACAGCTCTGCGGCCATAGTAACATAATGCTTGCATTTTCCCCTCTTCTTCCACCTCCCAATATTTCTTTGCTTTTCTTGCCCTAAGTCAGTGATCTCTACCTACAATGAAGATCAGTGACCTAAAATGTAGAAGACAACTACTGATCTCTACATTTGAGTGCCAAAATGGTTTATTTATAGGTTTACCCTTTTGAGTTATCATGTGTTTTGCACGTAAGCCAAAACAGATGGCAAATTGAATGGTGGTTAGGTGTTGGACCTAATTGCTACCGTTTTATTTCTTCCAGGGTGCAATGTGAGAATTTTTATCTTTTAGGATGTTAATTGAGAATTTAGCAATCTTTCAAGGTGCAAAGTGAAATTTTCCCAACCATTAATAAAGAATTCAATAGTACCAAAATTATGCAATTCAGCTCAACTCAGAGGCCCTTTAATCATTTTTCACAAACAACAACTTCAATCATTCACCATTTGTTAAGTTCCGATTGGAGTTTAGTGTTGAGTGTTAGAGGATGAGTATGAACTCTTAAAAGAATCAATGGTTACAAAATGTCTGTAGTAACATGTACAATAAAAGTATACTGATTTCACCTATATGAATATAGAGGTAGTGTGGCTAATTGCAAAATTTAACGTTTATAGTGCTAAATATTCATGAAAACGGGATTAGGACGTGGCCATAATAGTGCTAAAAAGTATAAGGTTTAAGTTTGAACATAATCATGTGTGATGTCTCCGGTTTTAATATAAAAAAGTTTTGGTTGAAGCTAAGGCCACCAATAACTTTATTAGAAGTTTGGAAGGTACCTTGGTGTATGCATGCTTGTATTATTAGAAACTAACTTAACATTACAATCTAGTGGGGAATGTTGGCAACTAAATATTAATAGATTGTAATATACTGGAGAAGAAGTAGGTGTTATTATATTGAAAGTGAATCCTATATGGAAAGTTTATGAAACTATTATAATCATACACCACACGATCTTAATCCTACATGGAAAGTCTATTAAACACCTTTTAAATTAATTTAAGAGGCAATAGTGGGCCAAGCCTTCGCATTGGGACCAGACACACACATGCGCACACATGGAGTGGGCATTGTGCTGTAGAGTGCTTTTCGGGCATACTTGGCACTTGCACATGGTCATGTAATCAAACCGAGTTGTGTTACATAGTGCCTTGAACTCATTGTACCCACAAACAAAACATGATATTGCTAGTGTCTTCTGGTATCATTGAACCTAATCAGATCGAGTTCATAAATTAAAATTGAACTTAGCTTCAATATGGCAATAAGAAGTATATAAGAAAAGAAAATAAATACTTATTTTGAATTAAATAGTACCAAAACCAAGCAATTGCATTCAACTCAAATGCCTTTAGGGGCGGATTTATAATGGGGGCAGTGGGGGTAACTACCCCCGCTACAAATCTAAAAACTTTTAGGGAGTAGATAGAATATTTGAAATTTGAAGATATTGCCCCCAATGAAAATATTTTAAAAGGCTTAAGGGAATTGGAATTTTGATAAAACATGGGGTTCTTTTATACAGTGTAGAGTTAGGTTTTAAAAAAAATTAGAGGTAACCCATAAAGGCATAAACGAATAGATTTGTAATTTTTTTTTTATTTTTTAGCACAATAGTTAGGGTTTTTATTATGCCTACTTATTCAACTTTTTCTTCATAGTAGACCATTGAATTCCAGGGTATAAACTGAACCATGATCATTCCATCAATTTTTTTATCAACCGGGTCTAAACCATTGAATTCCTGTCTGGGTCTAAACCATTGAATTGCTATCTTCTATGATATTTTAATTTGTGGAACTGAAATTATTTAATTGGGTTGCTCCATTTGAAATTTGTCTATTTTAGTTTGTGTCCAATTATTCCAATTAATTGAAATTAAATAATTTGGTTATGAATTATAACAGATCCAACTGCCGCTATATCTAATTTTAGTTGGGAGACTTTTGATAGACTTAATTTTTTTAAAAACTTCCTATTAATTTGTTTTTATTTAATAATTTTGAAAATTGATAGGAGTACATNGACTTTCGATAGACTTAATTTTTTTTAAAACTTCCTATTAATTTGTTTTTATTTAATAATTTTGAAAATTGATAGGAGTACATTAAAGGAAAAATGTCACATATTATTTATGTTGCTATATAATTACCTTTTTTTATGTAACTGTAATTATCAAAAAATATTATTGAAAGTAATGTTAATCTTATAATTTTAAGTGATAAATAAATTTTATATTACCCCCATTGGAGAAAGAGTCCAGCTCTGCCCCTGAATGCCTTTAATCACAAACGTATGAAGCTAAAAATGAGTTCCACGAACTAACTTAAATGATTTTACAATTGCTATTATTCCAATTCAATTCGGTTACATATCCAATCCGAATCGAACATAAAATTATAGTTATTCACAAATCCAATTACATATCCAATACGTATCAAATCAAAAGTTCTTACAAAACTCAAATTAAAAAATAGAATAATCAAACCAAGTTCACAAATCTAAATTGAACCTAATAAAACCGAATTAAAATTGATATCAAATTAAACCTAATCAAATTTCAAAATGAGTGTGTGGGTGAAGGAAAGGGTGTGTTTGTGTGAATTTTTTTAGGGGGGTTGGGCAAGAAAAGAAAGGGGGGGTATTATGAGTGTGTATTGTGTTGTGTGTGCTCTTTGTGTGTGTTTATTGTATTGTGTGCTCTATGTGTGTGTCTTGTATTGGGTGTGGGTTCAGCAAGCAAAGAAAAATGGGGGTGTTTGTGTAGAGGGGGAATAAGGGTGAGGGTGTGGTTTGCTGGGTCTTTGGGGGGTGGGTTCAGCAAGCAAAAAAGAGGGGATGTTTGCTTAGAGGGGGGAAGAAAGGTGGGAGGTGTGGTCTTCTCGGTCTTTGGGGGTGGATTTAGCAAGCAAAAAAGAGGGGGTGTTTGTGTAGAGGGGGAATAAAGATGGGTGGGTGGTCTGCTGGGTCTTTGGGGTGGGTTTAGCAAGCAAAGAAGAGGGATGAGGGGGAATACCTAGCTGTTGCTGTAAATCCCACACTTTTATCTTTATATATGAATATAGTTTTATATAGCAAGTAATTATTTCTTTTGAAATGTTAATATGGAAAAAAAAAATTTGAGTAAATAGTAGTTAAAACTTAGTTTTAGCTTGTAAGTATATGAAATCGTTTGTAATAAAACTTGTACCAACTATATTTGATGTCCAAATGTATGTTATATAAGTTTGAGTTGGTTTTGGAACGATTGGAATGTGTTGAAAATGAAGAAGGAAGGATTTGTAGAAAAACAGGCAAAACCTTCCGGAAGGTTAAG